TCTTAAATTCTATAACTTTAATTTAACAAAAATATTAAGTGAAATAAAAAAAATAATTTTTAATTATTCTGGATTTAGTGCACAAAAAATAAGATATAATCTAATAGCGTATAAAATATATTGATTTTAAATTTATTTGAAGAATCGAGGCTATTCGGGGGTTATAATCAAATATTTTTAAATTCTTAATTATTTTTAACGTATGAGCAATATTAATATTTGAGAAAACTAGCATTTCATTTTCAATCATAACACTCGTATTTCATGTTGGATTTTTTAAATTTTAATTTAATTTAATTTTTCGTCGTAAACTTCTTTTTATTGATATCGTAAGAGCCGTCATATTCAGTTTGTTGTTTTAAAGTTAAATTTTTAACGTATTTTAAAAGTATTGTCCAAAAATCAGTAAAAAATGCAAAGAAATTACACATTTCTTGAACTATATTGGAAAAAAACTTATTATATTTGATATGTATTATTTCTGCATAGTTAATAATTATTAAATTTAGAGTATGGTCACCACCAGGTATAAAAAAAGCCTTAAGATTTTCGTTCCAAAGTAAATTTTGCTTTCATTTTTCATATTTGTTCCATCTCCATAACCCTATCCACGCATGTCTTCAACATTTAAAATTCATCAGATGCGAAACATTTGCAACAAAACTTGTAATAAACATGCCATTTTCTAAGCACTGACCCCCCATTTTTTATTTTTCCGATTATAATTTGTTTATATTTTTTAACAAGTTCCGTTTCTAAACTAAATCAGCTCGCAATTTTTCGTCAATAATGCCCAACAATTAATTTAATCTTTTGCAGATTTGCGCTTATGGGATTGAACACTAGAAAATTTCTGTTTCGATTCCACGGTAACTTCAAACAAAGAAAAAATTGAATGAGTAGATTAAGCAATAAACAGAACTGTTATTTACTAATTTGCAGAATTATTAATCGGTTAATTGTTTCTACTGATATCACATTGCAAAATAAATATGCTTTTTGTGTCTACGTATGCCTATGTAAGTTAGATTGTTTATTATAATTTATTAAGTATTCTAGTTTTTATATAAATAATAAAAAATATAAATAATATATTATAAATCTAATTTTCGAAACTCGTTTTGGCGCCCCCTAAGGCGTGCGCCCGCATTTTTTGCATGCATCGCATGCAAGGCAGGACCGGCCCTGCTGCTACATATTTGTTGATGTCAACTTTAGTTTTGCAAAACGCTTGCATCCATCTGGTATATTTGGTTGTATTTGTCATTTTCCATTTATACAGTGAAAACCGATTTTTTCAGTAAAAACCGGTTTTCGAATTTCATAATTTTCGTCTGAATGCTGGTTTTTGAAAACCGACAAACCCTTGTAAATACCTAATGCCTTATTACATTTTGAATACTACAAATAATATCTACTACCATATAATTTAGAGTCACTCCAAATTTCTAATATATTTCAACTTAGTGACCAAAATTAACTTGCCAATAAATTCTTTACAACAATTTGTCATTAATCAAGTATTACTTGAGAAAACAGCAACAAAAACAAGATTTCGTTCTATTGATCTATGAAAAAGTAATTATTAACAATTTCCATTATCGATAAATTGCAAATCTGAAGATTTACAATCGACCAAATGCAATTCATCGGAGTGTTCATAACGAAATTGCAATTCTATTCCCTGTAAATGCGCTTGAGTTATGTCTTATGTAACTCTATACGAAGCATAAATCCGACCGCTTCAGGCTTCAACCTTTACTTATAGACATAAAATACTTATCTAATACTTATGCATACTTAAACCAATACATTTAATTGGCAAAATAAATACGTTCTTTATATTATTACCAACACCGAAGAACAGATTTATTCTATAAGACAATTGCTGGTAAAGGTGAGATAGTATAGGAAACTCATCAGTAGTATTTGCACGAATGCGACTAATAAAATGATACAACGTCCTCATTACTTGATAAAATGTGTTTCTCTACTAATGGATATTAATTATTCATGATAGGAAGAACATATACAAAGAAATATTGTGTACCAGTAATAGAATGAAAATTGTTTATGAAATAAAGCCAAATTGAACTAGTGGAGAGTATGGCATCGTGCCTTAAGGCAAATTGCTGGAACTTCCCGTACCGTAATTAAAAATCTTGGTACGGAACCCAAAAAAAATTACACAAAATGGGTACACAATATTAAAATTGCTATAAAACATCTGATAATTTGATTTACATATGTCCAATAAACATTTTTGACCGCAAAATGACATTTTTTTTAACTTATTTTTATTGAGAGTCCATAACCTATGGACCTGCCTTCCCAAACATTTAATCAGTTATTTATCTTGTCAATACAAGTAAAATATTTTTTGAATTATTAAAATCGGACGCTCCGTTCTCTTAAAAACTAAGTTACCGTTTTTGGCACTTTTTGCCTCCTATCTTCGGAACGGCTAGACCTGCCTTCGCCAAAAACTAATCAGCACGTCTCTCTATAAATACGAATCGAATGTTTTTTGAATTATTCGAATCGGTTGATCGGTGTTCCTGAAATCGTCGACGAAAATTTGTATCCGCACACGCACACACACACAAACATCCACTTTTTTAAGGTATGCCAAAATGTTCAAAAACCTTTGAAACGTAAAGATATATAAAAATTTTCATTTTCGATTTTTTTGCGATTACTATAACTTACCCTACGGGAAGTTAATATAAAATTTTGAATAATATTATTTTAAAGTAGAAGGTAAAAGATGTGTATTTATCCATCACTTTAATTCTTACGATAGCGACTATCAAGAGTATACTATAAAGTATAAACTATAAATCTTCATACCAAAAGTTTTTTCTTCGTTGGTAGATTTTTGGAAATTGAGTTCTTGCATTTAATGTATGATACCTGTTAGATATGTTATTTTTAAGTTACATTCAACAGTGTTTTATATAGACTCTATAAAAGCTTACATGTGGGTGGGGTAAAAAGGACGAACTAAACTTATACAATGGCAAATGTGTAAAAATTAAAAAAAATAGCAAATTTTTATTTGTATAAATTAATTTTGATAAAAATAATTCTACAAGAAATAAATTAAATTAATAGTTGTTCGACCTCTACTGATGAATACTTCTTTCGAAATTCAAGATTAGGGTTATATACAATAAAATCTTTGTAAAAAATGTTCCCAAAACGTTTATATTTACATTAGTTAAATTATTTAGTAACTGTTTTGTAAAATACCTTTAAAATTACAAAAGACACGTTGGATCTATTTGAATCCTGAATCATGACAAATTTAAAAAAAAATGAATAAATATATTTTTATAACTTAAAGTTAAATGGAAATTTTACTGAATGTAGTTTATATTATATATGTTATGTGTTGTCATTTGTTTTATACAGTATTGTTACTGAGAGTGAAGTTGGACCTTTGTGCCCCACCCTATCCTATTGCACGATACGAAAAAATTGAAATTAGTCGATGTAAATTAAGGTTTTGATTAGAATTATAATGAAAATTATTTTGTTTACTTTATAATATAACACTTTAAACGTGCTTGAACCTTAATTGCAGAATTATAATCTAATATGCTGCGAAATTCTTCCTAAAGAATATTGCACTGTCTATTAACCATTTTATATGCATAAATATACACTAGGCATGTAAATGTTTGTTTGAGTATCAAATTATCATATGTGTTTTAAGCATATTTACAAACACCCACACTCATAAAATTTGCTTAAAGTGTGAATGGCTTTATGATAAAGATTGCGTAATTTAAGAAAATATTAAATGTATTTGTGTATATTTCTTTCTCGAATACAAAATAGAATTATTTAGAACGAGTTCATATCTTCAAAGGTCTTTCAAGAGACCTGTTATGTTTCAACTTTTGATTAAGATTACTTCGAAGATCCATGATGTTCTCATTAAGTTAAAAAAAAAATCTACGGTTGAAAACAAATATATATCTCAAGTTATTAATATTTTTAAATCTATGTAATATCCCTCATGTCATTGTATAAGACGATTTAGTTCATGGTTTAAAATAATTTTTTATTGACAAAATTTTTTATATTGTTTCCATCTTCTAATATTGTTGCGAATTTAATTTTACACTTAATTAATTTTGGGAAATATACCTACACAGTATCTTTAATGTTTGGTGCTAATTATTATTGATTTTATGACGAATTGATTAAGAATGAAACTTCGACTGTTGTTTTTCTTTTCAAAAGGTTTAAGTTGTTTATGTTTAGGTTCTTATTTAAATTGTTAATTACACAGTTTGTGAAAAATAGACGTTAAGAATATATGCTCCAAAATACACCAAATAATGCAATATTTTAAGAATATAATAGTATAGAAATAATGAAAATGTTTATAAAAATATTCCTATACATAAATAATGAATAAATATAGAATATATGCTCCAAAAGTCACCAAATAATGCAATATTTAAAGAATATAATAGTATAGAAATAATGAAAATGTTTATAAAAATATTCCTATACATAAATAATGAATAAATAGGTAGCACTGCCCTGAGGCAGGTTCGTGAGCTGAACTAAGCTAAACTCCACCTCGATTCAGAGAAGAATAATGTGAGAGGTTTTTCAGTGCCCGAAATAGTCTATTTTTAATTAGAAACACATTGTTCAAGTGTGTCAAACTAATATCGATGCTGCACGATGTCGGGTTGTAAAGGTCAAGATTCAAACTCACGACCTCGTCCACACAAGTCCGTGCGTTAGACCATTAGACCACGAAGCGATCTTATTTCTATATGCATCAAATGATAAAAATATTCTTCAATAACCAAATAATACTCGAATATGCTCAAACAAAGCTTGGAAATTGTAACAAATTTCTAATTTCGTATCATGACTGAAGCATCATTTGTTTTCTTTCTAATATGTCTTCATCAACTAGTATTATAACCATGCAAAAATAAAACATTTTTTCTTAGTAATATTTATTTTATTCATTATTTTTGTTTAGGAGGTGTATAATACTTTCCCGCTACAAAAGGCATTTTAGCTACTTCCGCGGCAACGACCTTATCTCGAACTTTGAACGACACTTCAGTTCCAACCTAAACGTGTATTTCGGAATAAATAAGTTATTAAAAAAGGAATATTCATAAAACTTTATCCTAGTTCATACCTTCATCATGCTCTTAGGTACGTAGCCCATGGCAACATGTCCTCCTAGCGAAGGACTTGGGCAGCCACTGGTAACGACTCCTAATTCGGTGGATCCATCTCTGCTAAAAACTGGTGTTCCGTGGCGTGCAGGAGGACCAGCGGCCACAGGCTTGAGTCCAACCCTCCGTCTCGTTGTACCATCGGCCAATTGTTTCAATATGACTTCAGCGCCGGGAAAATCAGCCTTCGTTCTTCGAGGTTTTGCTAAAATTATAATAACGATTATATAATATAATATTAATTTTAATTATAACTATCATCAAATAGCAATCAAATTACAATTATTATTCTAAAGAGCTATTTTGCTTGAATTTACCTAAAGCAATAACGTAATAATCAAAACTAAGTGTGAGTGTACTATTGCCTTTAGGAAATTTACAAAAACATTCTGATAAGTGTACAATGTACATAATAGCTTTAATCAATAAGAATTATCATTGTCATGATAAAAATTTTAAGTTTTGTCACGGCATACTATTCGAAACTTTAATGAAATTTCATATCTAGACCACTTTTCGTAGGTCTTTGATATCGTAGAACGTCTATAAAACCGCAAAGCTTTTATAGTTTTATCAGATTTTTCAAAATATTATATATATTTTCAATTTTCCAAACACTGGACGAAATTCATCAAAAAGCTTCAAATTTTAAATTTAAAAACCACAAAAGTTTAAATTTTGACATGCACACACATACTTTTTCAATTTTAGTGTCAACTTATTCAAAATGGCTTGAAACGTCAAGAAAACATGCAATTAGAAAATTGGATTTTCTGGCAAAAACAAGCTTTTTCTTCGGTAAGTTTGTAATGCATAACAAAAAAAAAACTATAGAAGTTTTTCGCCTAAAAAAGAGGTCGGAAGTCAACTGGTTATTGATTTGTACAAAAGTGGTCTATTTGGATGGATTAAGATTTTATGGTGATGGCTGTGGCCAATCAATAACCAATTTCCTTAATTACGGCTATAGGTTTAATCGCTGGCAAAGTCTTTCATGAAGGGTATATTCACTGTGTATTGTGTGATTCAAAATATACAATGAAGCATTTTTCTTTAAGCATTTTTGGATCCTCCCTTCCCCCTTGGTGATACGTGGTGATATTCAAAATTCAGGTAAACAATAAATATACGTGATATCTTACTATACCCCTCCCTCCCCCACGTGATATTTTGTGTTTTTAAGTCAAACCCCCCATCCCCCCAAAAACCACATGTAATTAATGGACGCTCCCTAATTGAGAATTTTGTTTTTGAAAAAAACAAAAAGTTTGCCAAAGATAATTTTACTTATGGCACATGGAACTTAGGATATTAATCTAAATAAATTGTTAAAGTATTCATTATACTTTTTTTAGGTTTTTTGAAGCATATGTTTGTTTAATAATCTTAACTGGTCAACCTAAAATCGGAGTTACTTTTGAATATTTAAATGTAATTTTTTTACAATTGAGGTGATCCGGTTCATTGATGTTGCTGGAAAATGCACTTAGAATGCATGGCTTTTATGTCGCTATAATATTTACTGTATTTTAGAAGTATAGGAGACTTCTACATTGTATATCTATGTATCACTCGTTTTATTTCAAATTGCACAAATATTTTAAATATTTTTTCTTCAATTGCAAATACTTACCAACAAGCCATGCCAAAGCTGCTTCTATTGGAGTTGTGGTAGCATCGATGTCATTTCCATAAAGACATAACCCAGCTTCAAGTCTGAAAGTAATATTATAAACCTATAGAATATATAGTATAGATGTTATATTGAACAGTAATAAAAAAGTGATAAAACATATATCAAATAGATGATAAAAACATATTGTTATATATAACTAAATAGACTGTTAATCCCTATGCCTCCTGCTCTATTCATATACTATATTGCACGTTCATTATATTATAAGTCTAGTGGGGTGCATGGCATCGTGCCTTAAGGCAAATTGTTGGAACTTCCCGTACTGTAATTAAAAATCTTAGTACGGAACCCAAAAAAATTCACACAAAATGTGTACACATTATTAAAATCTCTATAAAATATCTGATAATTTTATGTACATATTATGTTCAATAAACATTTTTGACGGCCAAATGACATTTTTTTTAACTTATTTTACTGAGATTCCATAACCGCAGGATATGGATACCAACTAGCTGTAAGTGGAATTCTGTCTTAAGGCAATTAAGGCATCGTGCCTTAAGGCAAGTTGCTGGAACTTCCCGTGCCAAAAATTATTATTTTTTTAAAAACGATTAACATTTTTGAAAAAATTTCACTTCGAAAAAATAAGATTTTTTAGAAATTTTAAATCGGACAAAAAATTACTTTTTTTTGAAAAAAAATTTTTTTTTTAAAAAAAATTTTTAAACAATTTTTTTTATAAAAATTTTTTTTTGGAAAAAATGTTATCTTCATTTTGATATATTTTGGAAGATCTGAACTTTTTTTCAAAGCAATCGTACTGCTTTAACTGCGTAGAGACGAAATATAGAAGCGCGTAAGCGCCGCGTCGCTGTCTAACGGAAAAACAATAGTACGGAACCCATAGGAATGTAAACAAAACTTAAACTTATTGTTAAAATCTCAATAAAATATCTGATAATTTGATATGCATATGTCTAATGTCTAATGATTATTGTTGACCGCCAAATGTTATTTTTTTTTAGTTTTTTTTACTAGATCTCCGAAACCGCTAGACCTATCTTCATGAAAATTTGATCAAATCTTCATCTTATTAATACAAGTAAAATGTTTTTTGAACTATACAAATCGGACGCTCCGTGCTCTTAAAAACTGAGTTACCGTTTTTGGCACTTTTTGCCCCGTATCTCCGGAACGGCTAGAATGTTTTTTGAATTATTCAAATTGCTTCATCCGTGTTCCCGAAATCGTCGACGAAAATTTGTATCCGAACACACACACATGCACGCACACACACGCACACATACATCAATTTTCTCCAAGGTATGCCAACATATTCAGAAACCTCTGAAACGTAAAAGATATATAAAAATTTTCATTTTCGATTTTTTTGCGATTACTTACCCTATGGAAAATTAATTATAAATAAATCAATTTATCATCTCCAGAACTTTAACAATCGTCATTTCATTTCGAATCAAATTCCAAAAAAAAAAAATAGTTGCCAAATTTACCCAAAATTGAAAAAGTGCTCCCGCATAGTCACAGTCTAAACGCATTTGCAAATAATTCTGTGCGACATTTTCACTTATACTGTGCTCAGCTTGGCGGCATTTTCACATTTTTCAATAATTTTCACAAAATTGGAAAAGTGCTCCAGTACACAAACAGTCTAAACGCACTTGGGTAAACATTTGTACCAGAGTGGCGCTTAGACTGTTCTTAGCTTGGGTGATTTTTTGAATTTTTAATCCAAAATTACAAAAAAATTTTTTTTGAAAAAAAAAATTAGAAACAAAAATTTTTTTTTTCCAAAATCAATTATTTTGTTGAAAAAAGCAGAAAGTTCTTTGAATCATTTAAATCGGACGCTTAGTTCTCTCAAAAACAGCAATTTTTTTTAAATTTAGCTCTGTATCTCCGAAACCTCTGGGCCTACCTTTGCCAAAAACTAATCAGCACATCTCCCTATCAATAGGAATCGAATGTTTTTTAAACCATTCAAATCAGTTGATCCGTTCTCTTAAAAACTCGCTTTCTATTTTTTGCACTCTTTGCTCCATATCTCCGTAACGGCTGGACCTGCCTTTGCCAAAAACTAATCAGCACATCTCCCTATCAATAGGAATCGAATGTTTTTTAAACCATTCAAATCGGTTGATCCGTGCGCCCGAAAACGTGGACGAAAAAACGCGGACATACAAAACACACACACACACACACACACACATCCATTTTTTCTGAAGTATGCCAAAATGTTCAGAAACCTTCAAAACGTCGAGAAATGTAAAAATTTTCAATTCCGATTTTTGGACGATTACTATAACTTACCCTACGGGAAGTTAAAAATTTAATCAGTTCATCATCTTGTCAATACAAGTAAAATGTTTTCTGAATTATTAAAATCGGACGCTCCGATCTCTTAAAAACTGAGTTACCGTTTTTGGCACTTTTCGCCCCGTATCTCCGAAACGGCTAGACCTGCCTTGAGACAATTTACTGTAATCCCTAAGCCTGCCCTATTCATATAATATATTGCACGTTCATTATATTATAAGATAATAGAAAGTATTTGGTTAAACCATGTTCTGACTTTTAATTTATTTAATTAAATTCATTAATAATATTACATTCAATCTTATTCATATTTTGCGCTCAAATAAAATTATATAAAATCCTATTGTTGCCATTAATTTTTCAGTATTCATCGTCGTAATAGAGATAGTAGAAAATATTTTAATTGATTCATAATGATATAAAAAATGTAATCTGATTATATAAATTTTTTTTATTATCTTCCATATGATTAGTCATGAAAAACAATTGATTAATTCAGTTATTAGGTATCATTATTAGATAATCAGACAAAACACAGTTGAGATATTCAAAAATAACATTGTACATGAGTCAAAATTATCATAATAAGATAATTATTTTCTAAATTATTTCAATAACTATATATCACAAACTTATCAATTATCAGCAACTAAACATATTCGCTATTGAAATATTCTGTGAGATTAGGATGATTCCTATGAGAGAAAGAAGTTACAATATAATTTAGTATTTTAAAGAATTGCATTACTATTTTAAGCTTTTAGAATGGAAAAAAGAGTGCGCGTAAGGTGCACGCGTATTGAAGTAAAACTTTTTTGCTATTGTACGAGATAGCATTTAAGTTAAAAATAAATACATCTTATAACAATTTTGAATAATGTTCATCAGTAATATGGTAACACTCGTGGTGCACACATTTTTTAATATCAACCATTATACATATTTATATAATAATAAATTATAAATTTATAATAGCATTAAAAATATTAACAGTAAAGCCATACTTCAAATACGATATGATCGGTTTGTCATTGGAATTAGCATCTAGGACTTGAACCTTTATTAGAGAAATAAAGTAATTGCTGATTAATAAATTCTATAATATTCGTTCACACAGTGTACAGCTGTAATATAACAATCTTGAATAATTTCATTAACACTAGCAATGAATAAACTGCATAAATGTCCATTAATAATGTATGATTGCACAGCTACACAAACTATTGTTGTGCAGTTGTGCTTGATCTCTTGTTTAGAGTAATAAATCTGAATATCAATTTGTTCTTCATTATTTATAAAAATATGCAATTTTGTAATACTTAATAGCCATGATAAACAAAAAACATGTAGGCTTCCTCTAAAATTTCAAGTGTCTGAGACATAATTTTGAAAAAGATACATCTTCGGCATGTTAGAATAAAGCTGTACTGCTTCAATATTTTTTAATATCTATAAAAATGCAGAAAATTATTATGTTAAACAACGCCTAAATAAATATTGTCACGCATACCAAGAAGCTTCGCACAAATACGACCAATCACAATCGACCCGTATAGAAATGATAACATCGAGAGCGAATGACGAATCATTGGCACTCGACTTTGCCGTAACTCACTTCCGTTGCATTTATACGGATTTATACCCATGTCGCGTCTAAAGAACTTTTACTTCAATAATTTGATTAAATTACGACTAGACTTGAGCCTAATTATATAAGTTTTGTACCAAAATCTCCAGTAGAACCTCTCTATTGAAGTATTATGGTTGGGAAGTAACTTTAGAGAAATAGGATAAAATAATAATTAAATGAACAATTTTTAATTATAGATTTATTACTATATTCTATACATTATAACAGAGTACGGAAGCTCAAAAACATCAATCATACAAATTTATATTAAATGTATACAATTTGATCTTCCATCACTTCAATCGTATTGCCCACGCCTTCTTCGCATATTTGACTCCATCAATATCAACAAAAGATATTCTTATATCATTTTAATATCTCATTTTATAACAAATAAATCAAATATAAAGATTCGCTTGTATTCTACATTAGCAAATTCGAATTTTCGTTATTATCATCCGAAATATCTTGTGGAACTTTTCAGGCACGACTAATTGCGTGAGCGCTGGTACATTCATGTTTGCGTTATGCAAATAAAATATTTAAATAATAAAAGTAAACTTAACAAACAACATGTAAAGGACCACGTCATTAATTGCACAAATGTATTAAGCAAAATAGCAAAGCAAAGTACTTGTTATTGTTCTCCGTATATGGGAATAAGGTTATTAACATACCGAAATCAAAATGTTGCAGAGAATTATGAAGAGGAAAAAATACCATAAAATGTGGGACGAAGTCGTACGTTTTTATAAAGCACCTATTAATTACAACAAAATGTTTGAAACTTCGACGAAATTTGAAAATTATAACTGATACACTACATTTCATTCAAGATGACTATACGTCCCGGTTTGACCACGACAGTCCCGGATTTCACCTTGTGTCCCGGGTTTTTCTCGGAAATAGATCTTTTGTTGTCCCGGGTTTCCGAAAAATATAGGTTTTGAATTGAATCTTCGCGTAATGATGTAAATTTTCAACAACCCAACAAATATTTGAAAATGATATATATTATGTTACAATTGTAACATAATGTATGTCATTTTCAGATATTGACATAACCAGTATGCTTATTATTACGTTAAAATGAGAATGAATCAATACATT